CCCCGCCGCACATGCCAGGTTGTGTGTTTGCGCGTGCGGCTGCCCAGCGGCCGGTCAGCCAGCCAGCCAGCCGCTCGGGTGTTCGAGCGTTCGGCTGCTCCCGCATGTGTGGGCCCACGCTGTCCCCTTCTGTGTCTCACCTGTGGCCGCGTTTGTCCGCCCACCGGCGAGGGCGCTCACAGGCCCTGCTGGCCTTCGTCCTGAACCCTGCCTCGTCGCACTTGGCCGAGCGCCTGCTAACCCCCTTCACCCGGGGGGTTTTGCTCCAAGCCGGCCTGGTCCGCCCGTCCGATGGGTGCGTTCTCCTGAGCCATGATGCTTGATCTGTGTCCACCCGCGGCCGGCACTGACAGAGACACGGGCTCGGCTCCGCGCCCGCCCGTCGCCCAGCTCGGCGGATCCGGCGATCATCACCACACCGGCCGGCTTCCGGTTTGTGCTGCTCTCGCCGCGAGCACAAATCCTGAGCCTGGTTACCTTCTTCCTGGACCTGGTTGAGGCGGCCGGCGCCGGGCCCGGTGCCGTGGTCGAGTGCCTGCGGATTCTCTTTGGTCTGGGGTTTCTGGGCGAGGAGCAAGTGCGTGGATTACCCCTCCCCCTGTGCCTGGCGTGATCTCCCGGGCCCTTGGGCTGCCATTTGCGCCTCGCGCCTCCCGGTGCCCCCTCTGCTTTCTGGTCGCTCCCTTTGGGCCGCGTGCAGCTACTGACCTGCCCGATCGAAGACCGCTCCGGTGACCGGCCTGCCGGCGGCCCGGTGCGGCACGCATTTGCCCACTCTGCTGGCTCCGGATCCCCTGGCTGCCATTCGCGCCTCGGCTCCCCTGGCCTTGTTGCACTTCCTCTCGGATGTTGGGTGCGTGGCGCCGGCCCCCGGGCCGGGGCTCCGAGCGACCGGACTCCTCCGCCTTCTATTCCAGGATCACCACCACACTCGGCCAATCGATGTGGACGCACGAGGCCAAATGGCAGCCGAGTGCGCGGCTCTGCTCGAGGCGGCACCCGGTATGCCGCCGCTCGGCTGTCCCTCACTGGGCCCCGGGTCTTCCTGGCCCGCTGCCAGTGGCTTTGTCATCGTTGAGTCGAACTTCCGCGTCTACGCTTATACCGGTGTGTGTTGCTTCTGAACTTCTCTCTCTCTCTCTCTCTCTCTCTCTCTCGCTCTCTTCCCTTCTCTCTCGCTCTCTTCCCTTCTCTCTCGCTCTCTTCTCTTCCCTCTCTCTCTTCCTTTCTTTCTCCCTTTCTCCCCCCGCCTCCCCCCTCGTTGTGTACGCTTTGCCGCCTCTTAACGCCAAACTGCGGCTCCTCCTTGTGTGCATGGGTGTCCGCACATTTTCATCAAGCTTCTTCCGCGCACGTGGCTCTTCTGTCGCTTTTTTGCACCGGGATCCAGCGCTTTGCCGATCTCTTTGTCGGGGTCATCTCCCGCGGTTCAATCCTCCGTGCGGTGGAGATGGGTATCACCAGTGCCGATGTGCGGGTCTGAGGCTTTTCGCCTTTTGTGCCTCTTTCTTGGCCTGTGCCCACACTCACCCCTGTCTGCAACGTTCCCCCCCCCCCCTTCCTCAAATGCGCCAGATCATTAAATTCCTGTTCAACTACTCTCATTCATCCACACTCGGCCGGGTACGTATTTATGAAATACACACGCGCATGTGCGCGTGGCCACCCCCTCTCCTTCCTCCTCGCCCCCCGCCTCGCCCCCCGCCTCGCCCCCTCTCTCTTTCTTCCGTTCCTCCCCGCCGTTGTCCCGGGTGCTGACATTGCGGCCACTTGCCTCCACCAGACACACCGCGTGCCACCAACAGTGCTGATTCAAATCAGCCTCTGGGCCGCCGAAATGGAGCGGATCTCCACCGAGGATGGTACCTACTCGCAGTCTATCTCGCCTGGGTCTGCCTTCCCCCGCCTTGCTTTGGCTTTGTCTCGGCATCCCGTGCGTGCCTGCTCGCCACCATGTGCATCTATTGACCCCGGTCATCCACACGCGAAGTCGTGCTCATCACCGACTTCAAGTCCGAGCGCGAACTCCATCAAATGCTCCGGCGCTTCCCACGGCCGATCTTCTGCGACCCCGCACGGCAACTCCTTGTGGTCAGCCGCCCGAGCTATGAAGCGGTGCGTCATGCCCTCCTGCTGCTCGGGTCTCCTTCACGAGCTCGGCGTCCTCCGTGCGCCGGGGCAATCTTTGTCCCCTGCCCCTCTGCCTTTCCGCTCCCCCTCCTTCGCGCTCTTGTGCCTTGGCCGGACTTTCTTGGCCCCACTGTTGCAGGTACTCGCTGGTGGCACGCGGTCGTGACTGACGCCTTCCCCCTCGCCCATGGGTGGGATTCGGGGCGTTCTCCCTTTTCCCTCCTGGTGGCTGCTCGCACTTTCGACTCCAGTGGATGCGCTCGAGACAGGCGTCCCGCTGAGAGAGACAGAGAGGGGGATGTCCAGCTGGGCATCATCCTCCTCGGGAGCCGCCTCCAAGGCGCCCGACGCCGGTCGCGGGACCTTGGCTTTGTCATTGGCGGCCGGACCCTGCATTGCACCCGGTTCCCCCCCCCCCCCCCCCCTGCCTCTCCCGTTCGCTCGCCCTCGAGCCGACCAACACATTTGAAACCACAAATGAATCGACGGATCTGCCGCACCCCCGCTCCCCCCTCCTCCTCCTCCTCCCCCATTCAAGTCAGAACCGATCTCTCAGGGGTGGCCCCGCGATTGGTGTCCGCCCGCGCCTGGTTGTAGCCTCCGGTCGGGCGCGAGGCTGGCTGTGGGCACTGTGGCCACACCGCGCCGGGCGACGTGCATCGGAGGACCGGCTGCCCCAGGGGCGGGGGCCAGCTCTTCTTCCCGAGAAGCCCCCGTGTGTCGAACCGCCGGATCGGCCCTGGCGAAGCGGCGCTCGTTTTGTATTGCCGCCGCGTCGCGCCCCGTTCGGGTCTCTCTGCCGCCTGTGCGCGCTTGCCCGTGGGCGTGTGTATGTGTGTGCGAGGGGACCATCGGGCAACTGCCGATTGTTGGGCCAGGTGAAATTGTCCCTGCAGAAAGCGCCCCACTGTGGAGAGATGTATTGCCCACAATTGCACGTGCGGCGGCGCCCAGCCCACAATGCCAAGGGCGCTGCCCCGCGGGATTTTTTGGCGGATTTCTCCGCCCCTGCCCCCCGTCCCCCGCCCCCCCCCCCCGCTCGCGCCAACGGCATTGCCCCCACTCTCCCGGTCTGTCCCCCCATCCCGTCTCCTGCCTCCCTCTCTCTCTCTCTCTTTCTCTCTCGCTCTCGTTTTCTTTCGCCTGTTCCCCTTTTCCCCGCCCCCCGCACTGCCCCCCGTCGCAGGTGGGTTGTCGTGGTGACAGGTCCCCATTGGGTTAGGACAGGTGGGCGGGGCCCGGGGGCGGGCAGGTCCGGGCCAGGCGCCGTGCTGGGCACGAGGGAAAGACCAGCTTCGGCGGCTGGCCCCCTGGGCCGGGCGACATGCTTGGGGCTCCTCTTCGCCGCGCTTCTTCGAAGAGGGGCGTACCTGGACGTGGTCCATGGGTGCGGCCGAAAAAAAAAAAACAACAACGAAAGAAGAAAGGCTCCCCCAAATACACTCGACGCTGAGGCCCCACCGCGTGTGCGGGTATTTCCTTGTGCCCCCAGTGTGTGCCACCCGGCTGGGCCTTGGGCGTCGGGCTCTGTTCCTCCGTCTTGACTGGCCGCTGGTGCAGGAGAGGGGGGGGGGGGGGCGTGGGCGCCCTCCGGGCGGCGACCCCGTCGGAACCTCGGGCCTGCGCCAAAAAGAAGGCATGAATCAAACCCTTTGCCGCACTGTGCTCGGTCCTGGCCGCCCCGCGATAGGTGTCCCCATCGCACGGGCGGAGAGTACGCACGCGTGCTTGCGAAGGACCCGGGCGCATCGCCAGGCTCGGAATGGCTGGTTGGGCGGGGGAGCCCCCCCCCCCCCCCCCCCCCCCCCCCCCCTCGCCCCCAGCCGGGACCGGGAACACCAACCAAACCTCCCGGCATCGCGGAGGCGTACCAGCAACCCGGGGCGCGTGGGGGGCCGGGAACAGGATGACGGCCCCCCTTCCCCCTCCGGCACCCGGGGTATGGCGAGAATAACCGTTCGGCGAGTGCCGTCCACAAGGGGGAGTGTGCATGCGCTGGTCCCTGCGCACGGGATGCTGGCTCATTGTGCAGGCATCCCCAGCAGGAGGCAGATAGGATGAGCACGACTTGCCGGGGGGCGGGGGCGTGCGCGCCAGCCGCACCCGGGGCCCGGGGACGTTCCAGCAGCCGTCGACGCCGGGGATGGCCCAGGCGCTGCGGTGTTTACCCGTGCGTGTGCGGGGTGGGGGGCGGGGGCTTCGGCCACATTATTCTATTTCCCTCCCCTGCCGCTGTGCCCCAGGGGGGGGGGGGGGGGGGGGGGCGCACCACACCACACCGCTGCCGGGCCGTGGGGCAGGGGCGGGGCGGCAGGGGCGAGGGGACTTCGTGTTGCTCCGATCACACGGGGCCAGGGCCACCGCGGCCGAATAGCGGGCGCGCTCTCGGCTGGCGTGGCGTCTCGGCCCTTCGCCCCTCCGCACCCGGGGGTGCGAGAGGACCGTAAAGAGGCGTGCGTGTGTGTGTGTGTGTGTGCCGCCCGCTGGGCGCGAGTGGGCCGCGTTGGCGCAAAGTGAGGCCGGCCTCCCCTCCGGCGTTGTGGGCCCGAGTGTTCGTGCCCGTGCACGAGAGTGCCCTTCTCTCGGAGCGGCACGCGCGCACATGCAGACCTGGTAAGCCTGCATGCAACACCCCGGGGGTTGGCGGCTTTCGCGCGCCTGGGCTGGCCACTGCCAGCTGAACACGCCTCCCCGCCCCCCCCCCCCCTTTCAGCCACAGCCCGCGCCCCGGGTTTCGATGGGTGGCCTGGCCTTCGGCCCGGCCAGGAGCACTCTAGTTTGAGCCAGGGGCACGATCCCGGAGTCGTGTTTCCCCCAGCATGGTGCGGACCCACGTGCGCACGCTCCTCCTCCCCTCGCTCGCTCGCCTGCGCGCGCGCGCGCGCGCGCGCGCTCTCGCTCGCTTTGTCTCGCTGACTTTCGACTTCGTTTGTGCGTCCGAACTCATAAGAGGCCCCCGCGCCCCCCCGCCCCCTGCCCGCCGCTGGCCCATTCGTCCGCTGCACAGGGTCTGTGCCCCCCTTCGCCCCCTGCCCCCGCGCCCAACCCTATTGGGGGTGGGCATGCGGGGCGGAAGCCAAGCGGGGAGGCGGCTTGCGTGCAAGGCCGGATGTGGCGACTTCCGGCGCATGGCCGCGTGCATGCCCATGCACGGGCGGGCATGCCCGCGCGCGCCCGGGGTCTGCCATACCCCGGGTGGTCCGATTGGCAAGCTCCACACAGAGTTGCCAGGCGCGCTGGAGCCGGCGGCCGGCGGCCCTCTGGCACGGCTCCCGCACGGCCGGCCTGGGCGGTCGTGCAAAGCGCAGCCCCACATCCGCCCCCGCGCCTGGGGTGGCCTTTAACCGCCTAGCAGCATGCCAGCCGGCCGGCTGCCGCTGCCATCCCGCCCCCCCCCCCCACCCCCCCCGTCGCCCCGACCCCGGGCATGTTGGCCACCCAGCCGGACTCCTGTGCTGCTGCTGCCCGGCTCACGGGAGGGTACGTGCCGGGTGTTGCGGCGGTGTTTCGCTCCTCGCCTCCCGACTCGGACGGGGGGAAGGGGGCACCATCGCCCCGGCGCCGGCAACCGAGGGTTGCGCGCTGGCCCATGCGTTCCTCGGGGACGTCCTGCCATCGGGCCGGTCCGAGCTCGGGCCCTTTTGCCCACACCGCGCGCAGCCGCCCCCCCCCCCCCCCCTCCCCCCGCGGAGATCCGGTGCCAGTGTGCTTCTCCGTCCGCGGTATTCGTCTGGAAGGCCCCGGTTCAAGGTGGGCCATGTTGCGTGTGTATGTGCTGCATGTGCAGGTGCGTGGATGGGGATGCCTGTGCTCTGCACCGGGCCCAGGGATGGGGGGGGGGGCCCTTGTTCCCGGCAGCGGCAATTGACCAGCGGCTGGATTGCTCCTGTCGCGGATGCTTCACTGTTTCGGTCCCCCCCTCCCCCCCCCCCGGCGAACTCGATCGATTTATATTCGGCAATCTTTGGGGAATTTTTGCTCACACCCTCAAGCCCGAGTCCGACGGGCTGGCAGTGTGCCCGAGCAGGGGGCCTTTCTCTCTCTCACACACACACACAGCCATCGGTGCATACATGCCCGGACGCCAGGGCCGATGGGTTGCGGCCGGCTCACTTGTGGCCCGCGGCGCTCCCGGACCCACGGGAAGTGCTCTGTAGCGAGGGGCATTGGTGGTGCGCAGTGTGCACCGCCCACGATCGTTGGCGGGTTCATGCCCCGCAATCTTTCTTCTTTTTTTTTGAACACCCCCCCCCCCGCCACCGCCGGTGTCCGCTGCAGAGACCTGGCGACCGGGCGGGGGGAAGGGGGCGCGGCCATGTTGCCCGGGCCCCGGGCCGCCCGGCTCGATCCCGCCCGGGCCGCATGCACCCCCGGGCCCGAGCCGGGCTCCCGACAACCAACAGCCATCGGACCCCGGCGGCACACCACCCGGGGGAAGGGAGCACGCGCGCCTGCTACGGGGCGGTGGCCAACGGCAGCAGCAGCAGCAGCGGCGGCGGCGGCGGCGGCAGCTACGGCGGCGACGATGCTCCTCCCGGGGGCTGGCGGCCGCCCCCGGACGCCAGGGGATTTGCCCAACACGGGGCAGCTTCCGGGGCCGGGCCCGGGAAAACATCCGGCCGAGCTGCACACGGGACGCGTGTGGGGGCTCTGCGAGAGCAAGAGAGAGAGAGAGAGAGAGAGAGAGAGCGACGCCCGCCGTGTGGCCTCCGGCCCTGGGGAGGCATTCAGATCGCAAGGAGGCACGCGCATGGGCATGCGCCCGGCACCGGTCGAATCCGGCTCCGGGGCCCGCGCGTGCCCACGGCACAAGCAAAAGAGGACCCCGGTCCCGGGGTGGGGTCGGGCCTGGGCGCCAGTTCACTCGCCCGCCCCCCCCCCCCCTCTCCCCTCCCCCCCTCCCCTTTCTGACCCCTCCTTGCTCTTTTTGCAACGCGCGCGCGCGCGCACTCAACGCCCTCGCCGCCCCCTCGCCCACACGGCGACCCGCGCATCGCCTCGCCTTCCTCCTGTGTCGCGTTCGCCTGTGCGCTCGGTGCATCTGCCACAGCCCGCGAGAGTCGCCCCCTCTGTGACTCCCCTGGTGCGAGCCCGCTGCTGCCTGCCGGGCGCGTCGTCCCTCGGGCTTTTCCGCGGTCCTGTGCGGCGTCCTGCGAGCCCCGGTCTGCCTGGAGCTGGCCCCCCCCCCGTGTGGTGGCACGACTCGGCCCGTGTCCGGTTCGCCGCGCCTCGGATCGCCCGCAGCGCTTGCGCCCTCCCGCGACGCGTCCCTCGCGGCCCGCCCTTCGCAGGCGGACCTCGCTGCTCACCCCGCCCGGGCCCCTTGCCCCCTTCGCCCCGCGCCGCCGCCGCCACATAGCGCCGCCCTGTGCGGGCCTCCTGCCTCTGCCCTCGCGGCCGGGCCTTGCCTTGACG